TGTTGGCTGACCAAACTCCCTCACGTGCTGTCCAAGGCGTTTCTAACCTCAAAGGCTGCTGTCCGAAGTTTTTCCAAGGGTCAAAATTGCTGGCCAAGCTTTCCTAGTGACCACCCAAACATCTGTAGTTGTTGTCCAGCCATCCGAGCAGAGTTCCTACAGCTGTCTTGCTGTTCAGAGGGTCTCCGATTGACGTCCAGAAGGTTTCCCAGACCTTGTATTGCTGCCCACTTCTTCCCCAAACCATGTCCAAGCCTTGATATTGCAGATTACTCGTCATCCAGTGCCTTGGTGATCAAACTAGAAGCTTCGTAATCTCTCGTCTTTGGGTAAACTCTTTCCCCGACTCTTTTATTTTCATAACGCTTCTCAATTGTGGCCTAGTAAATTCATGCGATCAAGTTGACGCTTCTTCGCTAAAGCATAGTGAATTAGAGAGTTGAGTGAGTGGACACTTCTAGTTATTAATCTCATTGTTAGTCTAGGGATATTTGTGTAAAAACCATTCATGTACGCAATGTTAGATTGACTTGATTGTTATTTGATCTTAACTCTTACGCGAGTGATTCAACCGTAAGCTTGTTTTTCCGATCTTAATGTTTTATATCGTCGTTCAAATCATTGTAAAGATATAATTATTTGTTCTATCTAAAATTAAGCGTGCAAATTCATTATGAAACTCATCTTCGCATGTACGTTTCACATCAAAATGTTTTTAAACTTATTTGAATACATCTAAGCATTTACTTTTTGTGATTTCAGTAAAAGCAAAGGTTTAGTTATTGTTGTTGGCCTATGTGCTTCTTTGTTGGCCTCTCCATTTTGGTGAGTCGTTCAACCCATCTTGGCATTCTCACTGCCCTCTTCATGACTTGTTGTGTTCGACTTGGTAACTCTTCATGACTTGTTGAGTTAGAATTAGTGATTGAAACACCTTTTAACAAAATCAATCTAAGTCCAAGAGTTCTAATTTCAACAAAGTTAGATTCATGTTAAAGATTCAATCTTTTGGTTGAGTTTAATGTCAAATGTTATATGTAGGCTTATTTAGATATTTACTTAGGGTTTACAATGTCTTAGAAAGAACCTAGTTAAGGCATTTGGCTCCTTTGAAGGAGTTGATGAAGTGAAGGGAAAAGAGAGAGTTGCTTTAGCAAAATTTAAAAGGCATTAGCATTGATGGAGCTAGAAGGATATGATAAATATTATACCTTAAATTAGAAATGTCTCTTCTTCCCTTGTCTTTTTGGGTAACATAGAGTGAGAAGAGAGAATTTACTAGAATGAGGGGTAAGAGGGAGTTAGTCTTATATAGCTTAGACGGAGGGATCAAAGTGTGCGTGGGTGGGGTTTTGTTTTAGTTAATTCAGCGATTGTCTGCTATACTTTAACTAACATAAATTAAGCTTGCAAGGAGAATAGATAGGTTTACCTGTCATGGGAGCTTGCCAAGATACACTAAAGGATCACACAAATTGGTACCAATAATAAATTTAGCAAGCATATCTTGCTTCTTGTCACCTTTTCTCTTGTGTGGATAGTGGTTCAGTTAATTCATCGATTGTCTACGAGGCTTTAACTAATATGAACTAAGCTTGCAAAGAGAATAGCTGCATTTATTTGTTATTGGAGATTGCAAAGCTACACTGAAGGATCGCACAAATTCATACCAATAATAAATTTAGCAAGCATATATTGCCCCTTGTCACCTTTTCTCTTGTGAGGAGAGTTCAACTAATTCATGGATTGTCTAATATATTTTAACTAACATAAATTAAACTCACAAGGAGAATAGCTAGGTTTAACTGTCATGGGAGCTTGCCAAGTTACACTAAAGGGTCACATAAATTGGTACCAATACTAAATTTAGCTAGCATATCGTGCTCTTCATCACCTTGTCTCTCTTTTTGCATACATATTCCATGTGATAGGGGTTAAGGAGTGATGAGTGATAAGAAGATATTAGCTTGGTTTTTGTTATGCTTTTGTCCTTTTTTTTGTAAGTAGAAGCTGGTATTTAAATTCATTGTAATCATTTAAATTGAATATCTATTGTATTTTTTTTTTTCATGCACTTGAATCAATAAAGTTCTCATTTCCCACCCTCTCTCTTTCCCAACCAATATCTTGCTCTCCAACTTAAGGTCAGGAGGGAATTATAGCTTTATTGCTTCAAGTGCATGAAAATTAACTATGATGGAGAACCTATTTGTATGATATTAGTTTTTCTTTTTAAATCCTAACTCTTAATTACAAACAAGAAAACTAAAAAATGTTTAAATTCAAGGTAGTCTCTCCTTGCCCTTATCTCTTAATTCAAGTATGGAGACCAAATCCTAATTCGTTTATTTGCTCAAGAGAAATCCTTTTTTTTTTTGTTGAACTATGAGTTTTCTTCTGTTGCTGTATCACTCTTGCAAATATAAATATTTTGGTAGAGCTATGCAAAAGTTAGGCTTGTATAGATGTGGATGTGGGGTTCCCTCATCTTAAAAAAATCAAGCTATGGAATTTTGCTTCTTTGATTAGGTCAGTCAAATTTATAGAAATAGAGGGAGAGTGATTTAAAGAACTATAAAAAAGGATTTATGATTGCTGAAAACTAGAAAGATAGAACTAGTGATTATACTTGCAAGTGGAAATGAATTTGATTATCCTCTTTATTTATTGAATGGATTCTTTTTGCTTAGCTTTTGATGGACTCTTGATTTTCTTGAGTACATGGAGTGAGGAGAGGGGTAGAGTGAGAGAGAGGAGAGAGAAAGAGAGAGAATTGCTTAACAAAGTAAGAGAGGATTGTGGGTGCCAATGCTAGGTTGGGGAGAGTGTGTGGGATTGAATTAGAGTTTTATTGTTTCAAATGCATGAAAAATAATTGTAATGAAGGGTTTGTTTATTGACTCTTCATAATAATAATTTATTGAAATCCTTACTCCTAATTACAAGCAAGATAAGTGGAAAATGGTTGAAGTCAAGTTAATAAAATAACCTCTTATCGTTGTCTCATATCCCAACCACTGGCCAGGTATAAAAGAGAGAGAGAGAGAAAAGGTGGGAAGGAGTAGGATACATTTGCTTGATAATTATTATTACTTGTGTAGCCCTTTAATGTAGCTTTTTGTACTTCCATACAATCCATGCAAGCTACACCAAGCCATTATTTCTTGCAAATTTGGCTTAAACATGTTGAAGAGTCTCCTTGTTTAGTTGTTTTAAGATGGCTCACTTAATCTAGACTTGATTATCCCGACCATGGTTAATCATGTTGATCCACTCAAGTTTCCTAGCGCATAAAGTACTTGTTCATCTTCAGTCTTGCTTGTGAGAGTTTGATTTATAGTTTTGAAGCCTCTACGGTTAATTTCCATGGCCTTTCTGTTTTTGGAGGGTATTATTGCATCTTCCAAATCCATCTTCGGAATGCTAGATGGATGGTGTCAATGGTTGGGATCATTATCATTAGGGAGGTATTTGAAGAGGACAGGTGAAGGCAATGCATATTAAGGAGATTCAGTATGGAGCTCCATAAATATTTTCTAAAGGGAACCCTAGGAATGTTGATGGAACTTAGTTTGAGGCACTCACAATAGCATATAGCAAAGAGGGGCCTCGAAGACAAATTTGACCCATAATACTTGAATTAAGATGTTAATGTTGATGATGCTATAGTAATTTCCACATAGGTCATTTATAATGGTTAAGAACATCTAGAAATTCATTTCTTTTATGTGGCTACTCAATTTGAAAAGCTTTACTTATTTTGAGTTCATGTGCTTCTAGTTATTAGGGTTGTAGAAGAGGACTAAGTATTGGTAGTGCATGAAGTATTTGGGGAGGATTTGATGTGCGCTTCCAATCTCTCTTTCATTTTAGAGATGTGGCTTCCATGACTGGATCCTATGACTTTTAGATCACAATTGATATTATTAATCAGTTCTCTAGGCATGCCCTTCTAGACACACCACACCAAGATGATCTTTAATTTCAGAAATTTTGTACCTTAAGTCGACAATTTACTCCTAAAATAATTTCTATAATTTCTTTTACTTATAAAAAATGATAGTCCATCTTTAGATTATTAGTGTATAACATTTTGATGAGAAGTTGCATTGTATATTTTATCCTAATACTAGCAGTATAATATCGAATGAGCTATATGTCCTTTCAATTATTATAAATAGTTATAATATATTATAAACTTTGTGTCCGTGCTAATCAATAGCATAAAATTGCTCTCACTATAGTTCATAATGTAGCAAGATATGCCTCATATGCCATTATTTTGGTGACGTGCAGAGATTAAAGTAGCGTGCACTATTTGTGCTTTAAATGTGCTATAGCGAATAGCACACTATTTTGCCATGTTTAGAAGATGCTATGAGGATGAGCATAGCGGTTGTGTTGATGAACCTAATTTAAAAAAATGAAGTGAGAGATGGCGATGACGTTTAACAGAATGCTAGTTGGTTGATGATGATTCTAATTTTACAATTTGAATATGGGATAAATAAACAAAATTTTACTTATTTAAATAAAAAAAAAATTATTGCTTATATTTTCAGTAAGTATTCCATTGAGAATATTTGTGACCATCTTTCTTTATGGAAGTTTAAGCTTCAATGTATTGCACTTTAGCTTGGTGTTATGCATTTCTACAAGCTCAATAGTTTCATTTGTTAATCTTTTTTTTTTTTTTGTCATTATAGATTATTTAGATTTTAATCTTGGTGTTATGTATTTCTACTAGCTCGATAGATTCCAGTCCATGGGCCAGTCTGATACTTTTGAAGGTTAACAGTTTTAGGAATCGATCTGTAACTTTCTGAAGCTTGTTACCTAACCTTAATGGCCATTGTATGAATTACCATATTTAAAATCCCTTGGTGTTTACTTAATTGTGTAGCAGAAACTATTCTTTCAATTTCCTGTTTCTTATCTGAAGTGTTGATTCATGATTTGGAAGCTTTACAATGAGAAATGCTTTCCATGACTGTGTGCAGGTGACTGAGAATGGCAAGCAGGAGAGGCATCTTGTTGCAACTGTAGGCAAATTCAGTGTAATCTGGAACTTCCTCCAGGTGAAGAAAAGCAACCATGAATGCTACCGCAACCAGGAAGGGCTGAAGAGTTGCTATTGCTACCGTATTGTTCCCAAGGATGAATCCATTGTTGATAGCCGTTTTATGCACGAGAAGTTTGCTGGTACTGACTCTCCAGATGCTCCGCTGGTTGTGGCTACTCCCATGAAGGTCAGTTCCTTCAGCATTTCTAATGCTCGGCGCTAATCCTTGTTTAGTTACTTAATTCTTATATAACTCTTTGCAATTCTGCTATGTTATTATGCTTTTAATCTTTGAATTCCTTTGGGTTTTGCACTTCATTGTGCTTTGTGGAAATTTGCTTGTTTGTTTTTACTGGAGTTTGAATTAACACAGTTGAAACTTTGAACTTTTGTAATTTGGGATATAATACCTTTTATAAACTTTTTTATATTGTTTTGTATGTGTCTGAATATATTGGCATATATAATATATAATCATAATGAAGCTTATATTATGGGAGGATTAACACTTTTAATGAAAATTTTGGGTAACCGAGTTTCCAAATAGTTAGATTTTTGGAATATAAATTTTGAGTGATTATTTATGATTGCACTAATTTTAAAGCAAATCTAATTGGTTTGAGATTTGTTTAACTAAATTTAAGTACTTTTTTCATGATATCTTAAGAATATAATACTTTTTTCCAATCTGTCTTACACATTGCATTATATTTATTTAAATATATATGTAAATTATTTATTTTCCATTTTAATTACTTTTATTTTTTTCATTTATTTACTAGTCTACCCTTCTGCTGCTACCTTTGGGAACTTGTAGGATGGAATTTTTATTTCTTATATTAATGGGCAACCTCAATTATTGTAGTTTTAGTGTTTTTTGTTTTTTAATTTCCTATTTGATGATGAACTTTTATTATTTTCTTAAATTTAATTTTTTTTATTGTTTTTATGATCAATTAGGTATGATTACTCAGTGAAATGAGGTCTACATCTAACTAACTGATCATTAAAATTTGGAAGCTAAGTATCAAATCATAATATGAATGAGACTTTGATGTGAACCAAACTTAGTAGTGAATTTCTTCAGATTAGGCTTCAATTTTTAAATACTTCAAAGCTTCTTTTATATAAAATGTATATTGTTGATTTTCACTCATCAATGGTCTGATTGAAATTAGGCAAAAAATTCTTATATAATCAAAATGATAAGGTTTCGATTCCGATCATATTGGTTGCCGGTCGACACGTGTTACATATATAAGCTCGATAAACATGCTAAGGCATTAGCCCATTGATTAAGTTGATGAAGTCGATCTCGTGAGCGATTATTCGGTGCACATCTTTATATCAATGTGATATTGTTGAGACTGAGAGAAAGCAACACATGATTGTTAATCTGAATCATTCAATATTATAATAAAATGGTTCTTTAAAATTGAATGACGAAATTGTTGAAGCCATCGAAACATAAAATTTCATGAATAGATTGAAATTGTATTTGAAAACCTTATTATTTTTAAATTAGTCACTATTTGAGGTGATGCTTCTTTTTTCTATTCTAATTAAAAAGTGGCCTTAATTTTGTGGGTTTTTTTTATTAGATTATTTTAATTAAAATTTGATTAAATTCTTCATGTTCATTTAAAGGGCAAGATTTAATGCATTCACATCATAATTGTGATTTGTCTATTAAATTATCCATGGAGGAATTCTATTGGCTCTTTACTTCTTCTATTAGGAGATTTCTCTTTTGGTTTTTATGAGCAATCACATCATGAAATTATTAGGCCCAAATTAGAAAATTTTTTTAAGTAAAATTCCTTTAAATTTGATGTTAAGAAAATTGGTTTGTTTGTAGACAAATTTATTTGTATTATTTTTAATTAGCATAAGTGGTGGGGTCACAGAGAGATTAGGGCTGGGTCCCTAACATTAAGAATTAAAAAATATATATATTATTTATATAATAAAAATTTATATGCTTTATCCATGACTTAATATCCGATGGAGGTAACATAAATTTTTATATAAAGTTATAGTCTCTCAATTATATCAAAATATAATTCTTTAAAAAATTAATTTTCTTATTATGTAATTTAAATCTTTGAGGGTAATATAAATACCTTTTTTAAATTAATATAAAACCATAACTTATAGATTTCCAATACAAAATATTTCTTAATTTTTTGGAAAATTTTAATATCACAATATTCTGATAAAAAAATAATCATGATGAATTTAAAATTACTTTAAGAATTAATGATATAATATGCAAGCAATCAACTCAAAAAAAAAAATTCTCTTTATCTTTATCTAATATTAGGTCATTAGTCTTTTAGTTTATGACTTTGATGGAAATTTTATGTCTTTGATAGAATATATATATATATATATATATATATATATAATTTTCTTTTATTTGTAGTAATTTAGTATAAAATAAAGACATGTATATCCTAACAAGTATTATTTATTTATTTATTTATTACATATTAGGTATATGGTTGATAATCAATAATAATGATGGTCGATAATAACGATGATCAGTGGTCCACAACAATAATAACAGACCTTAAAAAAAATAAAATATCTAAATTTATTTTGAATATTTTAAAAAATATTTATTTCATTAAAGATAAAAAGAAAAAAAGAAAAAAAATATATATATAAATATAGAATAACTTTTGCAATATGAATTTTCAAAGGACAACGGCCCCACAAAGAAAATTTGCATTATGTTTTGGTCTCTTACATAGAAAAGTATTTGATGTAGACTCAAATGAACGGCTGAGATTTGATTTCAGCAAATGCTCGGTGGCTTCAAACACCGCACGCATTATAAATTTATAATAGAATTAGAAAAGCAGATTAAAAGCCTAATTATAATTTTCTTTCTAATTATAGTAAATTACTTGTACCAATTAACAAGTCGGGAATATTCTCTTAAACTTTCCGAAAGAATTGAAAGTGGATTAGTCTTCGCTGTCGTCCGTCATTAGACCGATTGACTGAGAGATTTATCCTTAAATAGAAAAGATTAAGTTCGAGAATTGATATAAATAAACAATTAGAGAATAATCAAAAGTGGATTAATCAGACTTTTAAAACAAAATAATGAAGAAATGTATCGAAGGTGATAGATCATAGTTTCAATAATTAGATTGACAAAATTGATGTCATCGAAAAATTATCTTGATTGGGCACGAATCTCGAGGCAAAATCAGTTCGGAAACTTCAAAAATTAAATTCGAGAGCATCTGAACTCCGATTTCAGCGAGCTTACAGACAAACTAAGCGTCTTGGAAATACGAACCCAACGACACCAAATTCGACCAAATCCGAGCCCAAATGAGTTAGAATCAAGGACCCGAAGCGCTGTTGGAAGGTTCAAACCGCAATTTGAGTTACTAAACGGTCTCTGATTTTAACGAGCTTATACTCGAATCGAGCAGCTCGACAAGGCGAATCCAACGAGTCCAGTCCAAGATCGCCAAATTCTGACATCATTAAGGCCTTCAAATGTCCAACGAACGGTGTATAATCGTAGGATTCAATATTGGCCATTCATTCAAACCACTCCCAATTCGCCCCTGATCTCACACCTATTTACAGACTTTGTCACTCCAGAAAAACTATAAATAGAGCTCTCATTCTACACAAAAGAACTCAAGTGAAGAGAGAGAAGAAGAAGGAAAGAAGAAGAAATTAAAAGAGGAAAGGGAGAATACTCTCCTCCACGACCACCACCGGAGCTCTTCCCGTCGCGTGAAGACGCCGGAACTCTGCCGGATTTTCGGGAAACGCTGGGAGTTTGCAGAACTTTGTAACTTTGTGAGAAGTTGATTGTAAACCGATCGTCTTGAATTGTTAGACTGATCAACCTTTGTACTTCAAACAAATATTAGTGGAACTTTACGACTGGGCGAGGCCCAGTGGTTTTTTCCCTTTTTGGGGTTTTCCACATAAAAACCTTGGTGTTCATTTCTCTTTTCTGTTTGTGTACTGAAAACTCGTACAACGCTTAGACGCAAATTTAAAAACTCTACCGCCGCGTATATTCTAGCACGCAACAAACATATTTCAAAAATATTCATTATTTATTTATCAATTTAGCCAAAATAATAATAATTCTATTTGGTTAGGCGCAAAGGATTCCATGAAGAGAATAATTTCATTTAATGAGAACGGTGCGATCTGGTTCACTTTAGGAAAATCGTCTATTATCGGCAGAAAATTTTCCGCCGGATTTTCGAATAAGTATTTCCGGTGGATTTTAATAATTTCTAAAAAAAAATCCTACAGGGGGTTTTGCTAGCGGAAAATTTTATGTTGGAAACTTCCAAATTCGCCGAAAAAATCCGCAGGTAATTGACTATTTTCTTGTAGTGGTTAGCTTTGTTATTATTAGTTGTCATAATAATTTCAATTTTATAATTGAACTTCATGAAATGCGAGAAGTATATAGGCTTATTATTTCATCTTATAATTAGGATTTTTAATAAAAATCTAAAACAATGGTCAAAATATGAAAGTCACGGCCACTGCCTCGCGGTTGACGGCTCAAAATTCCACTACAATAGCCCATATTCTGAGAAATTATTAGGAGTCGGGACGTAGCTTCCATACGGACTCCAATTAGAACATATCATGTACAAATTGTACGCAGTGTATATGTGACATGGCCGATTATGATTGAAGTTCGGATGGAAGCTAGTTCGAACTCCTCGAACGTAATAATTTCTTCAATATTTGAAGTAAAAAAAAAAATCTAAATATTAAATGCTTTAAAATATAACAATTTTTATTCATTCAAATTTATTTTAAATTGCATATCAACCTAACATTGTTAGCTTCTCATGATCATAGTTGACTTTATTATTTTTTTCTTAAAAATTAACATTAATATTTTTACATAATTAAATAATTAATTTTTGTATTTATAATCAAAAGGCACGGACGTCACCAAAAGTCGGTAATATAAAAATCTTATATTAATAACAGAAGAAGAAGAAGAAGAAAAGTAAAAACTTACGTGGGGAACACGTTAACGGCAAAGTTAAAAACCCGGGCAGCACAACTCACCGAATGGATAAAGTGGGACCCGCAGAGCCTATGAAATTGGGCTATCGACGGAGGAAGTTGCGGATAACGATCCAGCCACCAAGGAAGACGCGTGAATGTCAAAGGTGGACCCCACATGTCTCTTAGATTCCTCACTGGATTCTCTTTCTCGCATTATTTTTTACTAGTTTTAATTAAGGAAAATTTCCAAATAATAATAATAATAATAAAATTAATTTATTAAGGATTTTTTTGGGTTTTGAGAAAAGTGAAAAAATAATTTTGTAAAGTTGATTCTGGAATTACAATAGAAAAATAATTTTATTATAATCATATAAAGTAATTTTATTACAATTTTTATAAATAATAAATAATTAATAATCAAATAAAATTATTGTTATTATCTGAAAATAAATCAACAAGAAAATTATCCCAAAGAGACTCTAAATTCAGTTGAACTAACTCTATTAATTCATTTTCTTATTATGTAAGGTCTACTTTCTATTTATTTGAATTAATTTGATTTTATTTATCTAAATAGTAAATACTTTAATTATTATAATATGTAATGTTAATAAAAAAGAAAATTAATTTCAGAAGAAATAAAAAATATTTGAGCTCATTTTCAAAATTAAATTTCAAAAGCTTAAATCAAAATTAATTATTAATCATATTTTATGTTTGATATTTGAAGGATTTGAACTAATTGCCCTCAAGCCTTTTAATGTAAGATATTTCTTTTTATTTTTTGTAAAGAGATGTATTGAAGTGATGACTTAAAAGCTATATATGATTTTTCACCTTAAAATATTAGTACTATGTTCTTATAAGAATATTGCTATTTATTATAGTGATATGACTATGATTTATATAGAAAAGGAAACATTATAACAATATTAATATAAGTCAAGAAAGTGAAGCCAACAATGACTTTACACTGTGCATTTGATTACCAAAATATGGAGATAAAGAAGAGTAATAGATAATTTTTATTGCATACATACCATTTTATTTCATGTTTTTTACATATATGACACCTAAAATTTTAATATTACATCCATATCATCCATAAAATAAATATGGATGCATGGATTGAAATATTAAAGTTTATAGGGTGATATGGATGATAAGAATGAAATACATGAGTGATATATTTGATATTAAAATTTTATATGAGTGCTGATAATGTAATATTAAAATTTTTAATGTTTTTTTTTTTTTAATTTTTAATGTTAGATATATAAATAGTATGAAATAAAGTAGGTATGAATGTAAATCCCTTAAAATTTTAATGTAAGAATATTTTGGTGTAATTTTTGTGGGATTTTTTTTTTTAACATTTTAGGGTTTAGAGATAATATATTAGATTTGAATTCCAAATCTTTGTGGTTGATAGTTAAAATTGATAATTATCTTAATTACCATCCAACTAAAATGCCACGTGATGTTCATGATAACTCATGAACCCATTTTCCTTCCCGTCCTCCGCCATCGGTAAGCTTACCTTCCAGTCTCTCCACGACGTCCCCCAAACCCAGCTTATAACGGCGTAGAAACCGCATCACCCCATCATTTATCTCCTCGCTTCCCTTCCCCATTCTCGCCACCACCGTCGTCGACGTTACAGAGATGCCGTCGCGTTCACACGCCGATCTCCTTTCTCTTGTTTCTCCGCCGCCGCAGCAATCTCCTCGCCTCCCCCGCATCTTGACGGTACCAGGCGTCCTCTCCGACTTCGAAGCCGACCCCTCGACCGCCAATCCCATCGCCCCTTACTCTCCAACCCAGCGCCGAATCATCGTAACCAACCATCTCCCCATCCGCGCCCACCGCCACCCCTCCTCCGCCCAGTGGTCCTTCTCTTGGGACACCGACGCCCTCGCCTTTCACCTCCGTTCCGGCCTCCCGTCCGCGGCCTCGATCATCCACGTCGGCACCCTCCGCGCCGACATCGACCCATCGGATCACGATTCCGTCTCTCAACTCCTTTCCGAGGAATTCAATTGCGTCCCCGTCTTCCTCCCCCCTGATCTCCACCAACGATTCTATCACGGCTTCTGCAAACGCTATCTTTGGCCTCTTCTCCACTACCTGCTCCCCTTGTCCACTGCCTCTCTCGCCGGGCTTCGCTTTGACCGCCGCCTCTGGCTCGCCTATCTCTCCGCCAACAAGCTATTCGCTGACAGAATCACAGAAATCCTCTCTTCTGACGACGACTTTGTCTGGGCCCATGACTACCACCTTCTTGCCCTCCCCACCTTCCTCCGCAAACGCTTCCCCCGCATAAAGCTCGGATTTTTCCTCCATTCCCCTTTCCCCTCCTCCGAAATCTTTCGCACGTTACCAGTTCGAGAAGAGCTCCTTAGGGCTCTCCTCAACGCTGACCTCCTCGGTTTCCATACCTTCGATTACGCCCGCCATTTCCTCTCCTGCTGCTCTCGTCTCCTCGGCATCGACTACGAGTCCAAGCGTGGATACATTATGTTGGACTATTACGGTCGAACCGTCACAGTCAAAATCCTCCCCGTTGGCGTCCACATGGGACAGCTCCAAGCGACGATCAACTCGACCGAAACCAAATCCAAGATCCAAGATTTGATGACCACATTCAAAGATAAGATCTTACTTCTTGGGCGTGATGATATGGACATATTCAAAGGCATCAGCTTGAAATTTCTGGCAATGGAGCAACTACTAAAGGAGCATCCGAAGCTCCGTGGCCAAGCCGTGCTGATACAGATTGCCAACCCAGCTAGGAGCCAAGGTAAGGACATTCAGGAGATGCAGGAAGAAGCCCATTCAATCGTGAAAAGAATCAACGAGAAATTTGGATCTCCTGGATACTCCCCCATTCTGTTGCTTGATGGCGGGTCTCTTCAAACCTATGAGAAGATTGCTTATTATGCTGTTGCCGAATGCTGCGTCGTCAATCCTGTTAGAGATGGAATGAATCTGGTTCCTTATGAATACACAGTTTGTCGTCAGGGCAGCAAGGCATTTGAGGATATGCCCAAGAAGAGTATGATTGTAGTATCTGAATTCATTGGGTGTTCTCCATCCTTAAGTGGAGCAATCAGAGTTAACCCTTGGAATATCGATTCGATGGCGGAGGCAATGAACTTGGCAATCTCCATGCCTGAAGCTGAGAAGCAACTGAGACATGAGAAGCACTACAAATATGTGAGTTCCCATGATATTTCCTACTGGGCAAGGTCTTTTGATCAGGATTTGCAGAGGTCTTGTAAGGATCATTTCATGAAAAGGTGCTGGGGAATTGGATTTGGATTGAACTTCAGGGTTGTTGCATTGGGGCCTAACTTCAGGAAGCTTTCAGTGGAGCATATAGTTTCTGCTTATAGGAGGACAACCAGTAGGCTAATATTGTTGGACTATGATGGGACTATGATGCCAAATAGCTCTATTGTTAAGACTCCAAGTAAGGAGGTTATAGAGATTCTGAATGATTTGTGTTCAGATGAGAAAAATGTTGTTTTTTTGGTTAGTGGCAGAGGGAAAGATTCATTAAGCAAGTGGTTTGAAGCTTGTGAGAAGTTAGGGATCTCTGCTGAGCATGGATACTTTACAAGGTAATAAATGGCTTCTTCTTTGTTATTCTAACCATTTGTTATTTCATTTTCTTGGTCTCTGAATTCTTAACTTGTTAAGGAATGTTACATATCTCTATTAGCTGGGTCAACTATTGCCATTAATTGAGATGAATTATAAACAATAATAATAATAATTTGGTTTTTATTATTCCTTCTATGCCTTGTTGCATTGTTTGCAAGCATATGCTATGATTCTATTTTGCTGACATACAATGATTTGTTTTGAGATGAATGCAATACAATAGTTGATAGATTAGCGGCGCACTCATCTAAAGGCAAATTCAACGGGTAATCGATTATCTTGATCCTAATTTTTCTTGGTTTTTTTTGTCTAAATATTTAAGATTTTGCATGCTTCAATTTACGATCAAACTCTAGTAGATTAAGGCTTCCTTTGGAGAGCTTTCTTAATGCTTTCTACAATAGGTTTTTAGTACGAAAATTTCTGGTTCAAAAAATTTTTGTACCAAAAATTGTTTTAGAAAATAGTAAAAAAGCCGTCCCAAAAGAAGCCCAAGTAATCAACAATAGTTTGGTAATCATATATTTCTGGGAAGATATCAGTTAATAAGGCCAATATTTCATAATACATGAGACTTCTTCAAACCAGGTTTCATGGTTTAACAAGTGTTGCCTTCTGGATTATTATGGAGAATAAGAGCAGGAGTGTCTTATATATCCTGATGCTGAGCAAGGAACATGTAGAGGATAAGTATATTCTATTTTAACGGTAGCTATATACTTTGGATTCTTTATGTTTTTTTAATCCAAATTGCCAACATCTTCAGTCATGAAAAAACAATGGAATCTATCAACTGGATCACATAAGTTAAAAATTTGTGTCTGATTCACTCTTCTTGTTTCTGGATACTCCATTTCTTTTCTTTTCTGCTACATAGAAATGAAAAATCTCTTACAAATTTGCATTTCATTCTATCTAATTCTTCATCATCCTTGAATTCTGGTCTTTTTTACTTAGGTGGAACAGAGATTCGCCATGGGAATCCTGTCAATTAGCTACTGAGTTTGAATGGAAAAGGATTGCTGAGCCAGTGATGAAGCTTTACACAGAAACAACTGATGGTTCATACATTGAGCAGAAGGAAAGTGCTCTTGTGTGGCATCATCAGGACGCCGATCCGGATTTTGGGTCTTGTCAAGCAAAAGAACTCTTAGACCACCTTGAGAATGTGCTTGCTAATGAGCCTGTGGTTGTTAAGAGAGGCCAACACATTGTAGAAGTGAAGCCTCAGGTATGTTTCTACCTCTACATTCTGAAACTTTTTTGTTTTCATTTATCAAAACTCCATTACGCATCACTGATGTTCATGCACTGTACAATTTGCAGGGAGTAAGTAAGGGGATAGTTGCAAGGAATCTCATCTCAATCATGTCGAGTAGAGGAAAACCACCAGACTTTGTGCTTTGCATCGGCGATGATCGATCCGATGAAGACATGTTTGAAACCATCATGGATTCTCCTAAAAATCCTTCCTTGCCTGTGATTTCTGAAGTGTTTGCATGCACAGTTGGGAACAAACCAAGCAAGGCAAAGTACTACCTTGATGACACAGTTGAAGTCATTAAATTGCTTGAAGGTCTAGTGGCCCCTTCCTCACTACCATCAAAAAGACCTTTTCTTCAAGCTTCATTTGAAGGTTCTCTGACATGGAAAATTTAGAGAAGATCTACTCTGGGAGTTGGCTTAAGCTGAGAATAAAGAAAGATTACAGCCATAAGATTTCAAAAATAGAGTTAAATGAGAATTTAGGACAGCAAAGAAGAAAGCACAGATATGGCCATCTGTTTCATATTCTTTAATACTGACACAGCTTCATAGTGTGTAGATAACAGGAAATCAAATGTTTTTGTTTCTAATTTCTTCTGCTTATTTGTAGATACATTTACATTCCTTCCATTCAACAGAAATTGCAGCATCTCTTCTATTCTGGATTTCAATTTAGATCGAGCTGCTTATATCTTTTGTTTTGTTTGAGATCTTATTACTTTTTAAAACTGTTTTTAAGTATAAAATTTTTAGAACTAGAATTTTTTATACTAAATATTCGCTTTAAAAAACAGTAAGAAAGCTGAGCCAAATGAATTTCAAGTTGATTATCTGTTTGATTATAAAACTTTGTTATAGAAATAGTCTCAAATAGATATTCTTCTTTGACTAATTTCCACACGTTTTTTATAGAAAAATATAGAGAACATTTATCACAAATTATAGTTGTTTAGTTCAAATAGTTATCAACTTCTAAGAATATGATTTGTTGGCTACTACAATCAACTTTAATAATGTGGAAATATATATATATATATATATATATAATTAATTAAAATGTATATTATTTTCTTATGAATATTTTTAAAATTTATTATGATCAAAATTTGATTAGAATATTCTAACTAAATATTATTTCAATAATAAGGGAAATAGTTAGTATATGCCTCGCCTTAAGGATATTATTTTTATAATGAAATTATAAAGCTGCAGAAACTATGTGTAAGATTTTTAAAATATTATTAATAAAATTATTTGGGAATATTGTAAGGGGTCTATATACTATATCTGCATAAGACCCTTCTTTATAAGGTATTAATTGGATCCAATAACTTAATAATGTCCCAAATAAACAATAAAAAAAAAACTCATAGCATCTTAATTACACTAAAAAAATTATTTTTAAGTAAAAATGAATAATTTTTGCCTTATTTTATTATCCACCTAAAGCTTACATTTATAATTACTATTTTTTTGCTGATTTATTAGCGGTTCTATTTAATATAAATAGATTATGTGTCATTTCAGATGGATTTTTTATTTGGGGGATTTATATATAGAGGGATATGAATTTGATGTTATGAAATGAATTTAATTGTAGTCATTCTTTATCTCTTATGTTCCACTTCTTATCTCTTTTGCCTCTTCTTGATGTGATTCGCTATAGTGTAGGGGGTCCATTTGATTGGGATATGATAATTGGGAATCAACAAATGATTAAAGAAGTATTTGACGGTCTTGTGAAGGAGAGATTATTCTGTGCGATGTCCGAACGAGTCCGGAGGTTAATCCGGACGGGCCACTTCATCCAATGCACTGTGCATTGGGTGACGTGGCTCGTCCGAATTGACCTCCGAAGGCATCTGAATACCGCACATAATAATTTTTCCTTGTGAAGAAGGTTGACCAGTTGACCTACAATCAATAGTTTTAGGACACTAGTATTTTCGCCATGTTTTTAGGATCTTCTAGATTTGTACAAACACTATAGGATTTTGATCGTTTCCTCCCTAATCTAGAAAATAATATGTTGTCCCTGGCTCAAATCAACACAATCAACTAACTTAATTTAGCACTAGCCCATGAGAGTATTTGAGGGTTGAAATTGGTTCTCCAACATCAACCACTATTGATGCACTACAGGAAAATTACTCATTACCGGCAGTTTGGACCGGCGGTTACTACTTGTTTTCCGACGGTTTTGAAAAATACCGGCGGTTTGTCGGCGGTTTACAAACCTCCGGAAAAAACTGCGTTGAAAACCTTTATCGGCGGTGTTTTTCCGGCGGTTTCTTTCATCGACGGTTTATCGGCGGTTTATACCTCTGGTTATGTTCCGGCGGTCTTAGCGCCGGTGACCGCCAGTTTTTTTACCAGTGGCATACCGGCCGTCGAATCGCCGGTATAAAAATCGACGTTATTATAATGTAGACCGCCCGTAAGAAAATCGGTGGCTTATTGGCGGTTCAAACCGAAGGAATTTTCGGTGGTTAGACTGGCGGTGTACCACCGGACACCGTTGGCAAACCGCCGATAAATACCGACTGTTGGAGTAGATTTCCAACGGCGTCAATTAGCCGTCCGGTATCGAAGTTTTCGGCGGCCAAACCGCCGGTTGGCCGCCAAAAACATGTAGCATTTGAAAGAAAAATTGGCAGCCTCCCCTCTATTTGAGGGATTTTCACCCTAAACTCTAAACCTGCACAGAAAATACAGCAATCACAACAATTTTGGGCAACACGCCACTATAGTCAATCACAACAATTATCACAAATATATTCATAAGTTAAATCAAACAAAATAATAAGTGACTCCAAATAATTTCATAATTAAGTTCATAAGTTCATAACTAAGTTCAATAAGTTAAACCAAACAAGTTCATAACCAAATAGTTTACAATCAGATCATCATAAGTTCATCAAACATAAAGGAGTACTAATCCTCCTCAATATCCTTGTTGTCTGGAGATGCATGTGGCTGCTCTGTCTCTTGCTCTTTCTTCGTTTGATTTTCATCTATGTATGATCGTAGCTCTGCCTGCATTTCATTTTGAAAATTTCTCATCTATTCTATCTCTCTCATCAGCGCTGCAACCCTCTAGCTTACAGTTTCTTCAGCTCTAATACTTTGATCATAAAATGCTGAGGTGGATGAACTGCCCTCATAAGCATAACCTTGTGAACCCAAGCCATATACCCTCCCCCTCTATCTGCCTCCAACAACATCTGACCAGGTATGATACTCAGAAATTTGGGTCGATCCTGAAGATGATCCCTCACCAGTGGACTGACGACTTTCCCGATCTCATACAAAATCATCATGCAAGAATAAATCCATAAAATATATTGATATGACAATTAGTTTTATTATAATAAATTTATATTCTTAAACTCCAAAAAATTCTACTCACATGAGCCTTTTTAACCTTTTCATCAACCCACTGATGGTCAGCTTGATGTTAATGAGTTCTCGTATTCAACCAGCGGTATTGGCTCCCAACCAAGAAACTGTTTCTGAAAATATAAGATATATTTATAATAACATAAATATATTTAATAAACTAATTTAAAGCTTTTACCAGTAATCGTCTATGTTCCGTATGAGGAACAAATCCACCAGTATGAAGAGAGCTTCATAAACCCCCACAGTTAGATGCTCTGTTCTGCTTATTATGCTCTGTTCGCCCAAGCTCTACTCAGATCTGCCTATACGCCCTCTCCAATCCATATTGGACGCTGCCTGGACTTTCTACTGTTCGTGAACATGTCCCTGAGACGGGTCGTTCCTCTCCTGTTTTACGCCAGTAAGCTTTAACAACGGCGATTTAACCGACGGTGTTTGGACCGCTGCTGTTTCCGACGGCTATATTTAACATAACAGCCGGTTCGACCGCCGGTAAAAATCGGCGGTCACACCACCGAGTAAACCACCGTTAATACTGGTGGTTGGAGAACAGCCGGTAATTGATGAATTTCTTGTAGTGATGATGTCTCCAATCAATAATCAAAAGTTACATTTTCAAAGCACTCATTTCCATGAGCTTAACCAAGTTGATGGATCTAATTTCTTATATACTACAGGATAAACCGCCGGAAAGATTTTGGACGAAAAATTCATCGGACGATTTCATCGGGTTTAAGTAAGCCGGCGAATTTTCTGTCAGAAATTCCGCTAGCAATTTCTAACGTATTTTCCGCAGAAAATTATTTCCGGTTTTACAAAAACTGACAGACATGCCGATAAATTTCTGTCGATTAATCCGTTGGAAATTCCAACACTAAGTTACCGATGGAATATCTGCCGGTTATACCGACACTTTTACCGGTGGATACAATTTCGCTAGAAATTCCACCGATAAACCAAAATTTTCTTATACAGTGGTAGTCAAATTGATTAAAATGATTCAAAGAAGATATATAAATCAAATTTGAGGCGATAAAAATATAATAATATGATGTCATTTTTATGTTAAAATATTCTTTTATCTAAGAACAATAAAAGAGAATCCCACAAGTGCTAAGAAAGAAGAGATATAGAAAACAAAAGGTAAAAAAAAAATTGATAGAAAGCTTTTAGAAATTATCAATAGAAAATTTTCATTAGTAAAAACTGAGCACTAAAGCTCCACAGTAATCTAACTACTTTTAATTACCAATACACTAGCCGCTAATATGTCAAAAAAGTAAAAAAAAAAATTAATTTAATGAAAACATAGCAATTAAGAATAACATGATAAATATTAAATAAAGAAAAATAATATTATATTCCAAATAATAAATTATGTTAAAAAAATTATACAAATATGTTAATGCTTTTGAATGTTGTATGATAAAACGGCCAAAAATTACAAGACTGGTCCATTAAGAGTACTTTAATAAATTAATATAAGCCACTCATAAGAATTAAATTATGAGAATTATTTTATCCATTTAAAATTTTAAAATCAAATCATAATATAAAATATATAAAAATTGCATATTTAAATACTCTATCTACTTATTATTATTATTTTTTCTACTTTATAGGTTGACTTATTGACTTTGAATTGTCCTTTTTAGCATTTTTTATTTAAAAAGTACAATATAGTTTTTTTTTTAAATTTAAGTTAAAGTTATCACTTATCACCTTTAATTTTGCTCATATTTCATATAAAGATTTCACCTTTACTTCATATAATCTTCTAATAGAGAAGATTATCTTCCATTATACAATATACCTTTATAATTTTTCTTATTTTCATCTTTCTTAATAGAGTATTATCCTCTAATTAATCAAGTCAATTAATTAATTATGAGGACGTAAAACCTTAAAATTTAAAAAAAAATCAATATTTCAAATAAAAATATTCATTAATATATATATATATATGTATATATATATATATATATATATATATATAATATATATATTATTTATTAATAATATTGTTTATTATTATTTAAATTTATCCTGCTATACCATAAATGTTCTATATAATTTAGCTATATGGTCAAATAATTTAGTTGTATTCATCCTTTAAATCACTAGCAAAAAAAATTTTCAAAAATTCCATGTGATCTAATAGAAAATAAGAATTTTTTTTATATATATTTTATTTATAAATATCTAATAATTTAGTTAGAATATAATCTAATAATTTATTTATATTTATCAATTTAACTTTCCTAATCCTAAATTTAAGTTAAATTCTTTCCACTTTTCTCATTTAAGATTCTAATTTCACAACTAAAATCACATAATAATATAATAATCAAATAACATGACAATGATATCAAAAGATTAGTCCCCAAATCATATAATATAAGCCTTATCATCACTTATCAACATCAAATATATTTTTTTCATAAAATCAAATCCTTCCAAATGTAAGCTAATCCTAACCAAACAGTTTAAGGATCTTTAATCAAAATGTAACCATCAATAATCAGATCAAAACAAATAATTTTTTTTTCAAATGTTGACTAATCCTCTTTTAATTACTTTTTTATTCAGCTGGAAGAGGATTAGAAGAAATCATGTTTGCATTTAACAGAAATAGAAACACAAAGCTCTTTGAAATTGCTAGCTGTATGGATGAGTTAGAAGCTTAACCTATGCTTTGTACTTTGTTAGATAAGAATATTATGAGGGAAATTATCTTCTCAATGATTTTTAAATTAAATAAGATTCAGAGTTGTAGTTCTTATCCACTATGCTATTTGTTGATATAACCTTTATTTTTAAAGGATTTATCATTTTTAATCTCTTATTAAGAGGATAATTATCAAGATAATGCAAAGAGATTCCCTAAATTTTAGAGGAATCCAAATAAAATATTTTAGTATGCATGAAAGTCATCTCTAGGCCGGGAACATAATAAGTTTAAAAGTTTATTTATAGTGCTAATTTTTATGAAAAAATAGTAATAAATTCTCTTAATTATTTGCTAAAAAGTGCTTAAGAAAAATCTAAATTATTGGACTGATTAGCTTACATATATGTTAAATATCTTCCTTGCTTAAATGTTTTAATCCTATAGCATTTAAAATAGTTAAAATAGATGCCTCAAATAGAAGTATTTATTTTAGTATTGATATTTAATTAATATAGTAAAGGAGAATCTAATAATCTCTTGGTTTTTTTTTTTTTTTTGCTTTTGAATTTTAATATTTTTATCTTAAAATATATTTTAATATTTTTTTCTTAATTTATTTTAATATGAAGAAGCAATAGATAAGAATCTCAAAAAAAGGAAAGAGAGAGAGAGAGAGAGAATAAATAATGACAGAGGATAACGATGAAGAGTCCATTAAGAAAAGATGGATATTAATGCTTAGTCATATGGAACATCTTCTAATTTTATCCTCAGGTCAAGCAAATTATAGGTCTCCCAACTCTGTAGAAAGAAAATAGAGAAACTTCTAGAAGAAGAAGTTATTTACTTCAAAAGGATTATTAAATAAACTACTATTGAGATAGATAAGATCCAATGGGCAATGGAGAGCCAAAATATGGAAAAATTATTTTGTGCGGAAGCGGAACCCGTTCGGATACCTAAGCCCGTGGCTCGGTACTGTCCCTAGGTACCACGGCTCGGTATCGCTGATGTAGCTCATTTTGATTGGTATCCGGATGTCGAGCTGTCTTCGACGTACGCACAGAATAATCTCTCCAAAATATCATACTTTCACAAACCACTAAAATATCAAATGATTTGCTAGGCTTTTCTCAGAAATCTGAAAGATTGTGGAGAAGAGGGAAATCCAACAGCTACTGGAAATGTATCCAAGCAAGGACGAACATGATGTAGATAGAATTCTTTTTCAAAATAAAATTGTATATATATATATATAGCTGATTAAAAGGTAAAACAATAATAATAACAATAACAATAACAATAATATATTAACAAATTCATATCATGATTATTTGATAAATTTTAGACTGACTATCGACAATCTAATATAACCTTTGTTGCGTCGTAGAATATTCATAGCAATAGAGAAATATAAAGTTTAATATCTTAATTTTGTACGAAGATCCAGTTCACAATCAGATAAAAGAGATTATGTGTCATTCATAAGAAACACCATAGGTTTTTACTTTGAAAACCCCTAAAAAGAGGGAAAAATCAGAAGGCCCGGCTCAATTTGAATGAATCAACTAGGGTTTGCAATCAATTACAAATGAGGCCCTTCCTTAGGGAAAAGGCCACGGCGACGTTTAGTGGTCGGGTGGAAATATGACATCAGTTGTTGGCTTGGAGAAAGTCCGGCGTCAGTCGGTAGCCAAGAGGAATTTAAGTGTCAGTCAGCAGTCGGGCGGAAGTCCGGCATTAGTCTGCGGTCAAGTGGAAGTCCCACGTTAGTTGACGGCCGAGCGGAAGTACGAAGACAGTCGGTGGCCAGACGAAAGTCCGACGATAGGCGGTAGCTGGGTGAAAGTCCAACATTGGTCAAGGAGGAGTTTGGTGGCAAGAATACTAGTTTCTCTTGTTCCTTTTCTTCCTTGCTTGGATCCTGCCCCCAGTCCCCCTTTTACATGAGAAATGAGAGATCTATTTATAGTTTTATGAGACAGCCGATGTTGATCACCTTGATCATAGACCATTTATTGGACATTTGAATGTCTTATTGACATCAAAATTTGGTGATCTTGGGCTCGTTGGATTCGTCTCTTCGAGTCGCTCGATTCAACTATAAGCATGTCATGTTTGGAAGCTGTTTGGTCATCCAATTTATGGCTTGAACTTTTCAAATGCATTTTGGGTCTTTGATTTGGCCCCATTTGGGCTTGGATTGAATCAAATTTGGTGTCGTTGGGTTTGTAATTTTGAGACGTCCAATTCAACTATAAGTTTGTTAAAATCGGATCTCAGATGGTCCTAATTTTGATTTTAAAAGTTTTCAACTTGATTTTGCCTTGAGATTTGTGCCCTATCAACATAATTTTTTAATGATATATCAACCTTCATTTTTAAAAGATGATAAAAAATATTTTAAAAAGAGATATTAACATACACTTATAAAGTTATAATATCATCTCTGAAAAATGAGGGATGAGAAATCTTCCCATGTCAAGAATATTATCATCTTCGAAAAATAAGAATTGAGAAATGTTTCCCTTGTCAAGAAAAAAAATATTATTTATTTATTTAATTATTTTCAGAAGGCACAAATGCAAATTATAATAACTTAAAAAAAGAGAGCAAATATTAGTTCCGAACAACTTTTGAATGGTTAAAACGCTAAAGCTATTCTCCTTCAAATCTAGTTCAGATATAAATATAGATGTCAATTTCGATTTTATTTTACTTTTTGGAGATCTATTTAGGCTTCATTTGGGACAACTTTTTTACTGCTTCTTAAAGCAATTTTTTAATACTAAAATAAAAAATTTTATGCTAAAAATTTACTTTAAGAAGCAGCAAAAAAAATCATCCCAAACAAAACCTCAATCAACGGTCTCTTCTGTTATTTAAAAAAAAAATGAGATTATTTTTAGCAAGTTTAAATGAATGAGGGCCGTGATTTAGCGAAGTTGCAACGCAACGAGGAATGCATGGCACGTACACGCTATGTTCCACAAATTATAACACAATAATTATCTACCAAGTCCCAACAACTCATATCTAGAGAAATCGATTTTTAAATGTTTGGTTAGAAAAAAAATATAAACAAATTAATTTGCTAATGTATAAAAAATCAACTTTTAATTTAATTTCAAATATTTAAAATTCATAGATCAAATTTTCTTAATTTCAAATACACCGCACGCTACTTATTTCGCCCATAACTATAGTCATCAACCACCACCGCTAAATTCTGCTCAAATATTAGTATTGTTAACCGCCGCTGCCGCCACCATCACCTGACCACCCTGCTATTACCACAACAACGGGCACTAAATTCATTTTACTTTAAATAAAATAAAATAATAATAATAATAATAATTTCCTGCATTTATCAAACATTATAACTCTAAAGTATTTTAAATGCATTAAATTCTAAATAATTTAAATCAAACAATCACTTAAAATACAAAATTTTCAAACCACTCCATCTAGAGAAGGGAATAACATAAGAGTTTCCTCATAATACATAGGACATTGAAAGAATCATTGCATGAAAAATTTTAAAAATAACCATAAGCATTTAAGTAACTGTATACAAAACATTCTCTAAAAAAAAAAAACTTTTAGTCAGACAAATTCACTACTAATTTTGTGATGCAGAATATAGAAAACAAGATACAGTTTAACACTAACAAATGGACTGCTGCAACTTGATCCTTCAAAATGGTTCATTGTGAAAATCGACTTCTTTTACAGCTACAGAAAGGTTGGTTTTATTCGCCTCCCTGCATTGATAACAAGGCATTAATATTAACAAGTGCATTGCGACCGTTTTCTTACTACTTTGTAAAGCTGATTTTTAGTAGAAAAATCTCTTAAAAGCAGGAAAAAACAGTGATCTAGAGCTGTCTCAAACGAAACTTAAATGCACTAGAAAGCTCCTTAAGAAATGAATAAAGAGCTCGTTAATGGCATGAATGTAGTACAATACATAGTTTTCACATAGTTTAGGGTTATAAAGAGCACAAAAAAATGCAGAGTAAATCTAGCATTTGCAAAAAAGCACGTGGATAAAAAAAATGAGCAAATAACAGGAGCTTTACTGGAAGGTCAGATGTCATAAAACAAAGAGTCAACAATTCATTTCATCCTAAGGTTCAAGATACCTGAAATGTTCATGCTAATAATTCATGATACTATTTAAAAAGTAAAAGTATCATAGAGTACTAAGCAAATCACCCTAATCCAGAGGTTAGTGGTGGCAATTTTCAGGCAAGCTCTTGAGCTTTATAAGATCCAGCTCATGATAAATACAACCATGCGAGATTTCAAAATCTGAAGCAAAGAACCTTATAATCATGTTTATATCATGCAATACCATATTCGTCTTCCAGGTGTTGTTCATTTATGCATCACCTATGGTCGTTGGAAAACTACACGAGTTGTGACATTTTTTCCCTTAGAAAATCCTTGTGCGTGGTCAATTCAAACTTAAGTCATTCCAGTCAATTTTGGCGAGTTCGTTTCAATTTAACCCTACTCCGATCAAAAAACTAAACAGCTTTTGATCAATTTTCAGTATTCAGGCATAAATTCTCAGGCGCAAAGAAATTTACATCAAGCAGAAAACTGATTCCTGTTCCATAAGGTCAAAGATAGTTTATTGTTTCCATTGACTTGAAATCCAACCATCTAACCTGTTAATGACTTATTTGTTTAACTGGCAATGAATTGAGAGATTTAATCATAAAACTATTAGACAAAAATGCGCTAAGGAAAATCCTCGTCGGTCATTCTGTTTTTAAAATTTTCTAATGGAGTTAGCTTCACTATTGGTAGATACATCTATTGGTGATCATCTCCCTTATGAAAGAAACTAACATTTTATGACATTTTCAATATATAGCATCACCCCAATTATTTAAAATCAGCATATGAATCCTCATTTTTCATTCATTACCAAAATCAACATACAAGACTGCCCAGTATGTAGTCTCAACATACTCTATCGCTCACACTCTAGATGCTGGAAAGGCAATTGCCATTTTATGATCATTGCATTACAAGGTGCTAGCAACTAGACTAGAGCTTCATTAAGAATGGGGAAATATGCTGCTGAGGTGCAAGGATTCAAGCACCATATAGAAAAGCATTATGGTACCAGCCTATAATTTCCAAGGTGGGTTGATTTAATTAGTTGACTACCCAAGTGCATTGTAGCTTTGGCTAATAAAAAAGGAAGATGAATCTATGATTTGGAATAAACCAAGATAATTGCCAGTATCATTATGTACCAGAATTTTAATCTGCATTTAAAAAAAGTACTGATTTTTTACCATGTCCACTGAAATACCATATGCTAGGTTTCAAGTTATAACTAATAATTTTATACCGAACTTCGATGCTTTGAAAGACCACATGTCATGAATAGGCATTGGATTTTCACCTAGATTATGGAGCAGAGTTTCAACTTTAATTTCTGATCATAGGAAAACTACCTAAATCACAGTAAATTGAACAGTGCTTGTCCAATTTTAAAGATTGATAAAGATAGAAGGATGATCTTAGTAGAAGTTCCAGGCAATCTATGTTCGCTTGAAAAATGATCTCAAAAATGAGACTTCAACTACAAAAATGCTAAAAATCTTTAACCATCATCACAGAATCCATGATCATGACTCAAACCAATGCAAGCTTTAACTGAGGAATGAAGTACACGCTAAGAATAATAATCATGAGTGTACAACACAAAAAGGACAACATTAATGAATTACATGCATTTCATAAGTAATCTGAAGTGGAAAGATAAAAACCTTACTCATGAAACAGAAGACTTTTAGACAATAAAAAAATTAAATTAAAAAAGGCAAATTTACACTTTAATCATGATCCAAGATTCCCTTCCTTTCACATGAGACCACAAATCATGAGTTAAAATAGGATTTCCGAGGTTCCTTATAATTGATAACAGACATAATTTCAACTTTGAAATTGCTCATAGAAAAATTGCCTGAACTACGGGATAAAAGCATGACCTATTTTAAGTTTGGACAGATAGAAACTTCTTTTAACGTGTGGTCAAAAGAAAAGGAATAAAAACCAGAGTTTAGCAAATGAAAAGTGTCTACAATTGTTAACCATCATAAGTGATTTCATAAACAACACCAGAACGTAAACAATTTACACCTGGCAATCGAAGTTCAAATTAAGGGTAACATTAACGTGTACAAAGAAAATGGTCAATAGTAACGAGCTGAGTACATGGGACGCCATTTGCAATTTGAAGGGGATAAAAAGCCTTAAACATAACATAATATATTGTTTTGAAAAAAAATTTAAATCCAACAAATTCAACAAAATTTACACTTTAATCATGAATCCATGATCTAAGATTGCATTTACTACACATAAAAACTAGTTAACCTATATGATTTAGTTATCTGGTTCGGCTATAAACATCAGTTTGACCAATCTGCAACAGCAAACACGCAAATTTGATCAAGCAAACTTATCTTGTTCTAGAAACTTTAAAAATCCTTTTCCAAAATGCAAAATTGTTTTACAGTGGACAACCTAGTTGAATCATACTAGGAAACACCTCAATCGTATTGTCAATTAAATTTCATGAACTTTTAAAACTTAAAAAATCAGATATAATCTGTGCATTGCTGAGCCAAAATTGTTTCAATTCATCCTTTCATCTTAAATATACTATATCCTTCTAGCAATCATACTTGTTGCATGCTGGAGAGACTTCTATAAAATAGTAGGATTTAATGACATTTTCATCATGGTTTAAACTTGGCGCATGAACAATGAAAGAGAGAAGACTTCAATGTGAAAAAGTTCTTCAGAGGAAAATGCAGGAGACCCAGCCCAATCAAACAACTTTCAACATCCTATTAAAACAGAATAAAATGATCCGCCTCCATGTAGCTAAAGGTACTAGGATATAAAAATGAAGGCGAAAGGATGAAGTTGGTGGCACAAAGGCTAAGCATTGTGTGCACCAATAATCAACACAGCAAGAGAATGCAACGATAGCTTGGACCCAAACAATGGTGTTTTTATAGTGTCGATTCAAAATGTGGTGTGTTATTTGCTTCAATCTTAAACTTCATTAAAACATCATATGACAGACAATGTAGTAATTGCCATCATATGCAATATATCTGATGTATATGACAGCATGATCGTTGATGGGTGGAAAGCACCATCCAATCTTCAAATGATAACAGAAGAAGCTCTCATTGCCATCATATTTGGCTAATTCATCACGACTATCATGGCACCACGCATTGTATGATCTTTAAATGGTGGCAAGCAACATCATAGCTATAATCAATTGCAATGCAGTTGATGTTGTTATTGCATTGAGAGGAAAATTGTGGATGGAGATAAGCATTGTTCAGTCTTTAGGAACGCACCAAAATCTGACGGCATTGCAAAATGCTTAACCGCTGTATATGGTTCACAAATAACAGATCAAGAATTTTTCAAGAGTCTTTTTAATCTTGAAAATGACTTAACAAATAGTTAAGTAGAGTCGTCTTTATAACCTTCATGAGATCATACTAAAATATTCAACTGAAACATCTTTTGTAGTTGCTAGCAATGGATGGTCAAGTTCATATTATGATTCAACAGTGCTACTCTATACTAAATTGGAAAAAACGCCTAAACTCCACTTTCTATTTTAGGATTTCATTATTCATGAGATAGATTAAGACTTCGGGTGATAAAGTCATTAATAAGAGTGCATGTTTTTCAAGTTTATTTTTCAGGGTGATGGTGAAATAGAAGAAGATATTATTAGTAGAATTCAAGTTGAATGGCTAAAGTGGGGGAATGCATCGGGTCTGCTGTGTGATAGAAAAGTACCACTCAAACTTAAGGGAAAATTCTATAAGATGGTGGTGATACCTGCAATGCTTTATGGCGCAAAATGTTGGCCATTAACAGAGAAGCATAAAATTAAGTTAAGTGTTGCAGAGATAAGGATGCTCAAGTGGATGAGTGGCTTTACTCTTAGAGATAGAATGTAAAATGAGAATATATGTGAAAAGGTTGGAGTAGCTCCAGTGACAGATAAGATTAGAGAGAGTCACCTTAGATGGTTTGATCACATAAAAAATCAGCCTTCCGATGACCCGAGAGTAGATGCATTAGATTTGGCTTATGTCAAGAAAGGAAGAGGTAGACTTAAAATAGCTTGATTAGAAAATATTAGAAATGACCTTCTTTATAATTTGACTCTTAACATGACACAATGGAGAAAAATAATTCATATAGCCAACCCCACGTAGTGGGATAAAGGCTTGTTGTTGTTGTTGTTGTTGTATTCTTCAAGAGGTAGAGTAGTTTTAATTTAACTAGATTTTCTAAAATACTAATATTGACCAATTTAGATCTAAGATCTAAACTTCCTATCTCATAGTAATTACCCCTTCCACTCACGGAATAGCACTCTTCATTAAGGATGATTACTTTGGTAAAGTTTTAAATTTAAGCATAATACTTTCAAATTTATCTAATTTTGTGGGAGATATTTGTGAATGATGGATCTAGACTCGATCAAAATCATATGGTTTTGTCATCCCGAGAAAACTAACAATCTTAGTCTACCAACATTAGCAGACAATAGGCCAAAACATCTACGAAATCTGATGAGTAGTCACGAGTTATCACCTCTCAAGAATTCTAAGTAGACCGAGGTGAATTTTAGTGAATTTTTATTTATTATATTTTTTTTTTTGTTTCAATTAATTTAGTGGGTTTGCTAGTATGAAAACTTGTTTGAATATGATTTGAGCTGGCACTAACATTTATTGGAAAGCCCAAGTTTTAATTAGGTTGGGACTTTTTCTATTTGAAGGCCAAAATTTAATTGGGTTGGGGCTTCCTGCTCGCTTTGTAAGTTGTCTGAAAGTTCAATTTTCATTTTATGGGCTTGATGGCTTTCAAACCAACAAGATGAATTTGGATAGGGTTTACTTCTATTGGAATGCCCAATTTAATTGGGTTGGGGATTACATTCATTGAAAGGCTCAAATATAAATTGGAAAGGGGTTTCTTGCTCTATTTATAAGTTGCCCAAAATGTCTAATTTTATTTCAATAGGCTTAATGGCTTTAGGCTATGCTCAATCAAATGTAATGAAGTGAGGTCTACATTCATTTGAATTCCAAAATATGTTTATGATGGGGTTAACTGCTCTCTTAGTGAGTTGACCAAAAAGTTCGCGAGAATTGCATTCAAAATTTGTAGATTAGTTTACATAAATTCAATAGAAAATGAGATTATTTGTCATTCTTTAACCCAACTCATTCTGTATACTTCCTTGAGAGCATTTTAGAAGGATAATTTGATGAAAATAAAGTCATTTGCTTCAAATTGTCAAACATTTCATATGAAAACACACTTCCTTTAGTTTTAAGAGATTACATGCAATAGTTCTTATGAGAACTAAAATGATCAAAGATCGTATGACCGTATATATAGCTAAAACTCTGCTTAGATTAAATTATTCAATTATAATTCAATCATGAAGATTAATATAGCATGCGAGTCATTTTGTCTCAAGCCAATTTAATTCAAATTATATTAATTAATTATACATATTTTTAAATAAGTCTAGTTCATTATGTTTAAAAATATCAAAATCTTGAATCACCATTATTTAAGTAAAATTATTTAATTTCCAACATGACCTACTCAGCTCACACAGATTCGGACTTACACAAGCAACCAACAACAATAAAAAAATACCCATCATTGATACCTTCGAATGGACCTATGGCATGGTTGGTAAGATATCATTTAGATAATATTATTATTTAGACCTATAGTATTGTTGTTAAGATGTCATTTAGATAATATTATTATTTAGATAGCAAGATTTTTCAAATAACAATGTTGTCGTTCAAATATAGTGTGTTTGGTTTAATGTCATCTTACTTAAAAAACAAATTGCTATTTAGAATAACTAATAGTGATTAAGATCATTCTTTTCTTCTTTTTAAAACTATCAAAATTAAACTAATCTATATAGCATCCAATTTGACTGCAATTTAGATTACCTCAATCATAACAACTAATGTTATTCAAAATAATTGTGTTATCTTTCAAATATAGTGTCTTTGGTTAATCTTATCATACTTAAAAAATAAATTGTTATTTAGACTAATTAATTGCAGTTAAGATCATCGTTTTTCTTCTTTTCTAACCCATCAAAATTGGAATAATCTATACAGCATCCAATTTGCCTGCAATTTAGATTACCTCAATCATGACAACTAATGTCATTCAAAATACTTACAATGTGATAGAAAACATCAAACCAAATACTTTTTATCAAAGATAACATAAAATTAGATCAAAGAAAACATAGAACCAAAAAACTCATAAGTGAAAATAGGTAACAACGTCCCAACATTTTTTATGAATGAATTCCTCCATCAAAGAAGAGTGTTCTAACATAAGCGTCTCAAAAAAGTACAAGGTATAAGATGTGCAATGGCTCTAAAAGTATTGCATGGTAAGAGACCAACATGATCAATCGACCGCTGACATCAAGGGAAACTAGAGGGAATCAATAAAGTAGCCCCATCCAACCCACGTGCATTGTTACCACTTGAGACCTAACCTAGCCAGGCAAATTTAAACAAAACAATCTGATTAAGCTGATTCAAATCATTTGGACTTAGATTCAAGCAATCAACTTGTCAAATAACACGATTTGCCGCTCCAAATTCCACAGAACTAGCATACTATTCTAAGCTTCTTGGACCTCTGAATCAGAAGAACTTAGTAAATTAAAGCACTGGTTCAATTCTTTTAAATTGTCTCAAGATGCTTGGTTCTACACTAAAATTTGTGCTAGAACAAACGTAGATTTTTACAATCCAAACAGTAATAGATATTGATCTCCGTTTAGAAAAATTTCAATGTAATTATTCAATGCAGTAAGTGGTTACCGCATCATTCAAATTAATATATGCTATGCACTGAAGCACAGAATTCGGGTATGCTTAGGCTTTTGCCAAGAGAGACTAGTATCGTAATGATCAAAAGCATGAAAATCATCATCAAAATCTATTGAAATCTCATAGCTGTGGTGGCATCATTCACTTCCTAATATGACAACCGAAAATCAAAGCTAAAAAAAACTAAAATAAAAGCTAATAACTTCGACCATAATCACGTTTAGAGAAACCATGGGTACTCCGAATTGGAAGATTTGAAAACGAAGAAAAGAGATATTTAAGATCACATCAACCAAAAACGTTTCAGACAACAAAAGTCTGGTCGGGCAGATCCAAAGAACTAATAATAAGCAAAAAAAACAACAAAAAATAAACAAGATGAGATTTAATTCAACCTTATGATGAAATCAATTATCCTAACAACGATATAAAAACAAGGGAAAAAAAAAGGTTCAGGCATTGAAGAATCTTCATCCATGCTCGTATACGGGAATACCTAAGTTGCTCCGACGATGATGTTGTTGATCGGAATAAAGATAAGCTTGACGAAGAAGCCAACAAATCCCATCACCACAAACCCAATCGCAGTCCGCACAGCCACCTTCGTGAATTCTGCATTCCAGATCCATCAAATCCCATAAAATCATAGATCAACTTAATGCAAAAAATGAAACTAAAAGAAAAAAAAATGCTGCGCGGCTAAAGAAACGATGATTGCAACTGGCGCATCGATATCAGAAAGCTGATCGGAGCTCACCCTTCCTGTCCGGTTTATGGCATCTTTTGACGAGGCGGGCACTGTCCTTCGCGAATTCCCTGAGAGGATCGACCACGGAATCTAGGGCATCCATTTTGCACAAGAGTAGAAGATCTGAAGGGACTTACGTTTTCAATCCAAGAGCCAAGACTTCGAGCTCAACGCCGGACCCGCCTTTTATAGTCGCCAGAGTCCGGCCTTTCCAATCACATTTAAGTGGCAAAAAATGCTTGAAACAATGAAAATTAAAATTTTAATTTATTTTAATATAAATATTATGCATAAAAATAATTTAAATTTTATCTTATATTCATCTTATAATAAATTTAATAAAACTTAGACTCATTCTATATGAAAAATAATACTATCTTTACTCATTTTATTTGAATTTTAACTGAGCTGATTTTTTTCATTCAAATTCTCAAACCCTAAACTAATAAAAAACTGTTAAATTATCTAAATTATTTGTGGAATAAGAGCCCACATAAGATGAATGTATCATATGAGTATAATTAACTAATATTTAATATATAATATTCTAAAATTTGTATACCTTAAATATTCTTGAGTAAAAAAATCTAAATTATTTGTGGAATCATTTTTAAGATGGAATAAAATATAAAATAAAACAAATATATATGTTATAAGAGGAATGCATGGCATTTAATATGTTTGAAATTATTTGTATGAGTGTACAATAAATGTTGATGGTTTCTTTTTTCTTGAAGTGAAATGACCCGTGTGTAAAACCTTACAATGGTGATGGCCAATTGTTGGTAGCTGATGATTAGTGATGCTGGCGACTAGGGGGGCCGACAACAAATGGTGGGTGGCGACGGCTAGTTGTGAGGGTGGCAACCGGCAACAATGATATATAATTTATAATGTATTTTGATATCATCAAAATTTAACACTGGTGTATTAGACAAAATACGTTATTGGCGATATTAGGCGATCAACTTTGTTACGTCACCAAAAATCTCATATCACTGGTCAATTTTTTTATGAAAATAATTCTCATATAACTGGATTCTTCTAACTCCCATCATGTAATATACTTTATAGGATCTATATTTGTTACATTTAGTCAATGTTTTCCCTCGTGCAAGAGCATATTATAAGCACTAGTAGAATCATTTTGACAATATCTCATTGTTTTTCCCATTTTCAGGATTTTTTACATACAAATATTGATGTCTCTTATGACTCTTGCACATCTCTCTCTTATCTATATGTGTGTTGGATTTTCGTACAAAACTATAATGCTAAGCTCTAAATCTCTCTACAATTGCAAAATGTTTCAGGATGCAATCAACTTATTGAAGTTAGTGAATGCCAATGTTTTATATTGATGTTGTGAACTGACATTATGAGTGTTGGTAGGTGTTAACTAGTGTCAATGATTGTGTGTCAACATTATTAATGATGGTATGATATGACTTTTGTTGGCATTGACATCAAGCAACAACTGATGTTGGTCTTATTGAAAACGTTGGATGATGTTCTTACGAGCGTCACCATTAGTATTGATATTGTGTCAGCAAATGATGACATTTTTTTTGTTGACGATGAACATATTATTGGTGTAAATAAGGCTAAGGGTTTGTATCAATGATGACAAAGACCTTGCTGTAATTGGGTTGTGTCGGTGTTGGCAGCGATAATAAATGTCAACCTTGTTGGTGACGACATACCCATATGTTGGTGTTGGCAGTGGACAACATTGGCAAGTGTGAGTATAGGCATCCATGGAGGGTTTTAGCTACATTGTTGACATTGGACTCGTCAATGTGAGTGGATTTTGGCGGCGACAACGTGTGTAGGTTGTTTGCAGATAGAGCTCCATATTCTCTAATTTAAAATATTTTTTTGGACTTATTCAAGACTTGCCAAATAGTAGAAGTTCATCTATTTATAGATTCAATAAGGATATTCTGATCATTTCACTAATAAATTATAAACACTATCAAATTGTATGTAATGCTACATTTGATTATACAATTTTATTTTAATCATGTAAGTACTATAATGATATTGATATCGAGGGATTATGGGCTCATTGGATTCCTCTCGTCCATATGCTTATTTAGTCCATGAGCATTCAATATTAAAATATTGTATTGAGGCTCAAATGGTGCTATAAAATTTAGCCCTATATTGTTAAGTGCATGGCTTAGGTCTATGTGGATTTGTATCAAGTAATTTTAGCATCCTTTGATTCATTTCATCAAAAGATTCATATCAACTACAACTTCATTGAAATCATAATTTCAATGATCTTACAAATTATTATGAAAAATTGAAAATATTATTGATGTATAAAGATTTGTGATTGATCAGATAAAATTTTAATATTAGTTGCCTAATATTTTAGGGTGTGGAAATATGTGTTGTTTGAAAAATAAATGGAATATTGAAAACATTTGTAATATAAAATCATAATTTGAATAATTTATAAAGCACATTCGTTTTCTAGACGCCAAATTAGGCCTCCTACATAGAACATGAACTAATATATATATATATATATATATATATATATTGTAAATCACAGTTGCACAATTTTTCGAAATTATAAAGTTGTTTGAGGGTCCGTTTATTTGGCTAAAAATGATTGTAATGTAAAAGTAATGCGATATAAAATGAATACATTGTAAAATGAATATTTTGGAGTTATTTTGATGAGTGTAAAGTAAATCAATGCGAATGATTTTATTATTTTTTGTTTGGTTAGACGTAAAATATTTGGCATGTGATGGTGGCAATTGAGGGTGTCGGTGGTGGCGGTCGGAGGGTGGCGACAACATCAGCGACAATGGTGGCTAGAGGGTGGTTGCGGTGATGGCCGGAGGGATGGCGGCGGTGGGGGTCGGCAGTTGCGTGGTGGTGGCCTGAGGATGGTGGCGGCGATGGCCAGAGGGTGGCAACAGTGGGGGTTGATGACTATATTGGCTGGTGGTGGCTGCCAAAGGGTGATGTCAGTGGCCGGCGGGGCACCGGTTGAGCAAATTTACTTTACCTCAAAATTGAGCAAATTTACTTTACCTCAAAATATAAATTAGAATTATTTACACTATAAATACTTCACTTTGAATTTTTCTTTTTCATTCAATTAAATATCAAAATTGATTAAGATCTTTCATTTGAAATATTTTACAGAAATTTGTGCCAATTTCTGTAAATCAAACAGCCATTCAAGCAAAAAGTGCCAGTAAAAAGTGCCAGCAATATGGTTACATAAAATCTAAAATTGCTTAAAATTATTTCTGAAAGTCTTATATGCCAAGTGGGATGGCTAGAAACAGAGCCTCTTGATGCCAGAAAACTTTCTTCCGGCGCCATCTGCTCGCTAGCTGCTTGCTCCGAAATGGACGAAAACCCTATACCTCTTCATCTTCTCACTGGCTTCATAACACGACATGGTAATCTTTCATTCCTGTCGTACTCCTTCGGCGTGTTTCTTTCTACTGGATGGCCAGGCGACATCTTCAATGCAGAAACCTTGGAACCATCGCATTTGGGGTCCACGCAATGATGTCAGGGAAAATGCCAAAGGACCCTTCTCGCTGAAACCAGAAGGGTTGATGACATCGATTTGGCGGTCTCGGGATTAGGGCATAGAAGCCATTAGCGACTTGGCTGGGGTTGATCGACCTCTGTGTGGTCTCCGGCGATGTTCGGATTCATGAGGCTCGAAAAAAAAGCGGTGCTCACCAGGGAAAGAACCATGAGGTAAGCGTGTGAGCGGAATTACTGTAATTTCATATGATTGCACTGTTATATCTCTCGTGGAAAGGTTAAAGTCTGAATTTGATGGGTTCTTCGGCTTGAAATTGGAAAGCCCTTTTCAGAGTTCGTTTATGCTACTTCTTGAAAGTACATTTTTTTAAAAAAATCCCGTTCTTTGCGAAATATTTGATTTCAAATCATCTGATTTTTAGATGGATGCTCGTGCATTTCTGGTTTTTTTCTTATTATTATTATTATTATTATTATTATTTTTTGATATGTTAACTGAATTCAGTGAAGAGTAGTTGCTAATGCCAGTCTTTTGGCATCTTAGCCAATCGCTCTGCATCTGAAAAGTAGATATTGGAAATTCTGCTGCTGGCTTTTTTTTCTGTTAAATTATACTACTTCACTTAAATTCCAAGGAGCTGTTTGGATTCAACTAGGTTTTAATAAATCCTGTAAATTTGGATTTACTAAATCCTGATAGTGTTAAATTCTAAAAACTTTCTGGCAAGAAATATATTAAATCCTAGAAAATCCTGTGAAATTGTTTGGCAAAGCAACTCAGGATTTAAGGCAATTAATTTACTGAAAATATAAATATATTTAAATCATACTAATTATATATTAATAAAATAATTAGTTATGATGTTGGAGAAGCTGAAGGATGATCTCTGCCATTGAAATTAAACTTTTAGACACTCAAAAGTAACTCTCAAATGAACATGAGTTGCAACAATCAATGAAGATATCAACTTTTGATGATAAAATAGATAAACTAACCAACATGGGATTGATGTCTCCCCTGTAAATAAATAAATACACACACACACATTCTTCTCAAAATTGCACGTGGCCTCCCTAGTATTCTTTCTTTGCCCTCTTTTCCTCTTACTCAATTTTCCCTACGTTCAACTTTGTCGCTCATGTTCCATGTCCCTCAGATCCAATTGAAGCACCATGGATTGCACTACAATGACCTTCGGCTTGGCATGCTTCGTTATTGCTTTGGCTTCACATGCTTTGCGGGAAGTAGAGTTTTGAAAGAGTCGCTAAATAAGCTCTTGGTTTCCTTTGACAACTTTGTTCTTGTTGGATCAAAAGTCATGGTCGTAGCTTGCTGCGAAGTTAATGATCTTTCTCTCCTTTCACACACTTCTTCTGCCAATTCCTGTAAATATGCCAAACGATAGGATTACCAAATATGGGATTTACGGAAAGTAGGTGCACAACGGTGATTTAACTTACCATGAGATTTGAGGGTTTTTTTTGTTTTTTGTTTTTTTGCGTTTGGGAAAATTTAACTAACATCATGCTCAAATTTAGCATCAAAGAAACTCCTAAATATTCATTAAATCAATTATTTTGAATGATGCAGACTTGTGAGGTAGAGCTTATTTCGCTTTAGTTTTTTTTTGGAATTTAAGCCCATGGAACCTTTTTATTCTCTTATTAATAAAATTTGTGTTTTATACTAAAAAAATAAGAATCCAGATTAAAAACCTCTCTTCATTGACTCCTCGGCATGTTCATTGGATTTCCTTATGGTGTCTTGCCAATTCTAACGAATTAGGTTCTCTGGTATTAGAGCGCAAGGTTTGAAGATAATACTTAGGCACGACATCAAAAGAACCATTTTTGACCTTAACTAGTTCAAGAAGAAGATAAGGCAATGTTGAGATTTCAACATCGCAGGAACCTTTAGTGACTTGATAACCGTGTTGCACTCTTTCAATAATAGATGATAGTGATGATGGAGATATCACGTAAGTAGATCTTGAAGGAGGCTCTAGAACCAAAATATAAGATTAATCCCAAAGAAATATATCATCATCAAGTTCTCGTCGCAACTCACAAACAATATTTAGCTGTAGCTTTGTAGACCTGAATGGATTTTGACAACGAGCATAATTCCAACCCAAATTTTCGATAGTGATAATACCAAACTTAGTTCATGAATTTTGTCATTAAAGTTAATTTTAATTAAGTTCAACTTGCTATTAGATTGAACTCATTGATGTGTCAATACATCAGTGCATTTTGCCATATAGAAATAGAAAAAGAACTTTTCTCGTTATATATATTTTATTATCACTTAATGCTTTTCATCCATATCTCGTAAAGCTCTCATCATGTTTGCTATGGTCATCTTGTATATTTTGTTGAAGTCAACCTTCTTTGTTAGTGATAGGTGTATAATTCCCAACGCCTATTTGACAATTTTTGTGGTTCATGGTTGTAGGTATTAGCTCATTGATAGGTAGATGTAATTTTCCTAGTTAAGTAATCCTCAAATTGCATCTTCTAGTGTCAAAAGTCTTTGCCATCAAATTGATCGATCATAGCCTTCCCATCTTAAAATTCAATTGCTCCTGCTTTTATTATAGATCCCAAACTCAACCTTGCTGAATACTAGTTATTGGATTAAAATTCTTGCTTGAGAACATTGACCATCACAAGAATGAGAAAAATAATCTACACGAGAACATTAAAAAAAAAATGCTTACAACTGCACGCATAGATAAATGATGCACTTGTTTATAAATAATTATAAGATATGATATATTTGCATTTCCCAAATATTCCTTTTTCTTTTCTCCCTGCAATTTTCCTTTTTTCTTCACTCCTCTCTCTTTATTTTCTGTTGCCTTTCTCTTGGTCAGGCTAAAAAAGAACCCCCAAAATATCTCAAGAAGGGATAATATCAACTAGCTCTTACACACATATATAAAATTATAATATGATATTTTATAATATACCACATACTTATTACTTCACATATCTTTCTTTCATCCACTTTATAACTGCACAATATTTGAACTATTTTACTTTCTTTCATTATTTCAATTGCAAGCCTTCAGGCTTGGCTGTCACCACCTTTATAAAAGTCAAAGGTCATCTCTTGTTCTGCCTTTCATTCCCCTTGCCGACCTGTTTTGCTGACTACTAGAACTCAACCGCCAACTTCAACATTGGTCTCCTCTTTGTCGACCCCCTCCGCTTGATCCAATTGAGGTGTACTACTGTTGATGCTTGACCTTAGGTCCTTCACTGATGAGCTCACAGAATCATCGCCTCACCGGCAACCTCATCCTAAAAAATTGAGAGAGGTTCTTCTGCCCTTGATGACATCCACGAAGAGAAGTTGAAAGTTGCATCCCGCGCTTTAATTTTATCTTCTTTATCAAGCATCATAAGGTGGAGGTATGAATTTAGAGGCGTGAATTTGATCTTAAATTTGGTAACCAACAAACTTGAAATCAAAGTTATAGTTGATCTAAAATTTATCCCTGATTTCATGATTTTATAATAACTTTGAAATCAAAATTGTGCTAGTTCAACGCATCTTTAACACTTGATGGCCTAAAATTTTAAATTGGACTGGCATTAAATTTTCTACTCATTCCAGAAGCAATAATGAATTTTGAGGACAAATGATGCACAGATATATAAAAGTTCATAAAAATACATTATATGATTAATTTGTGCGGTATATTTTTTAGTTAGTTCTAATGGCATTTATTATGCGATGCAAAATTGAAAAGGCTTCAATGTGGCTCCCATTTTGGGTTTCATTTTGCTTGCTGCAAAATAAGAATTGGAGAATTCGATCTCATTAGAATTCAGAAGTCAAAAAATTCCTTTTAAAACAATTTGCATGGGTGTTCTAGAATTATTTGGAGTAATTTAATTATTTGTAAATGCTTAGGTTATATGACTATGAGAAGAAGAGCTCAGCTAAACCTATCTACCAGTCTATAAACCCTGGAGAGGCTTTACCAACCAAAGCCATTCCTGAGGTTTTCCTTGATGACGACGACCCATGGAAGAAACGGATATTTGATCCTGGAAGTGATGTCATGATAAAATGGAACCATGTTTTCCTCACCACAGGCTTGATCGCTCTATTTATAGATCCCTTATATTTCTACTTGTCATCGATTGAGAATGGGGATCAAATCTCATGCGTGAAAAAGATGGACTGGGGTTTGAGACTAGCCGTTACTATTTGCCGGTCAATTGCTGACACATTTTATCTATTACATATTTTTTTCAAGTTTCGAACAGCATTTATAGCACCAAATTCAAGGGTTTTTGGAAGGGGAGAACTTGTCATGGACCCTAAACAGATAGCAAAAAGGTATTTGAAGACAGAGTTCTTTATTGACCTTGCAGCGGCACTACCTTTGCCACAGGTACGCATTGCTTACTGTCTAGGTTAAATTTTGAAATATTATTGCTTCTCAGATGCTACTATAAATGTCTAATTACATCGTGAAAATAATAACCCTACACCCCCAGGTCCCCCACCCATCACAACACTACCCCACCCATAAAGAAAACCAAAATATTGTCAAGGACTAATTAACACCATTCAGGATTCTTGTTCATTATGCTTGTTATGGATGATACGTTCCAAATCATGTGTAATTCTTACTGAAAATTCAAATGCTAGATATAGTCTAATACCAGTGGTGGTAGATCTCGGATAGGTAATGGGATTGAAGGTCATTATGTATCAAGTCGAGAAAAATAATTGCTAACGTTTAAGGGTCAAATTGGAAGAAAATAATGAGATTGGATCTGTAAAAAGATTGAAGGTTATTAGACGGAGAAGATTGAATGTGCTACACACCTGGTAACGAGATCAGAGAACCAACCCAAAGGGACATCTCCACAGTTAACCCTGGGGTGCCCTGGAGTTAGGACATAGGTTAAGAAACTGCTATAGTGGCTTCACAGAGAAATTGAATTGAACTGATAAGGCCTGAAACTTAATCAAATTAAGAGGGCTGAAGCTATGAGAAAGTTTTTTTTTTAATTGCTGGGAGAAGTAATTGAGTACATGAAGAGACTTGGGCCTTTTTCTCTATGTAGATTTCTGTTTTTGAGGAACTGCTCATGTGTCAATTCCTTCTTTTTGTAGTTGTTGTATAGAAGCTGCAGGTTCTTAAGGATCCTTTTTTGGTCTCATATTTATTCAGTCTCTAGCATAACTGTTTGATGAGCTGGAATATTGCCACGTCACCATTGCAAGAATCTCCTAGTAGATTATGTCCTTGGGGCTTCGTTTGGGACAACTATCTTACTGCTTCTTAAAGCAACTTTTTAATAAAAAAATTAAATTTTTTGTACTAGAAAGCTGCTTTAAGAATCAGTTAAAAAGTCATCATCCCAAACGAAGCCTAGGTAAGCAAGGTTTGCTTGATCTCCAGTCTTACTTGGTTTCTCTCAATTTGTGGCTTTAATTGGGTACACACAAGTCAATCGTTGCTATGTTTGACTACAAAGTTAATGCTTCGGTTGAGGCGGCCCTAAAGGAGTCATTATATCCCATGCTCTTGTTGTCCTTTTATTTCCAAAAAGTACGAGGAAGTGAATAATTTTGTAACTGGAACCGATTCAAGTTTCATTTTCTCTAAAACGTCAACTGATCTACTTCTCTTAAAACAAACCTTATTTCTTTTAACTTACATCATTCTAATTCCTTCTCACTTCTAATAGCTCGCCATCCAAATTTTGCAAAGTCACTTCATAAAGAATTTTAAAAGTTTCTTAAACGCTGAAGGGAGTCCTTGCCATTTTCCCGTATCAGGGAAATACTGGAAGTAACTGAATAAATGACAATACTAGAAGCAGTTTTGTTTGTTTTGGTACCTAGTTTTGAAAACGCAGTAGATTATTCTTTTTTGACTCAGTACCATTTGATTCATTAGAAAGTATTATGTATCTTATAATTTTAAATTTCCAAATTTCCTGATGGAATGATAATCTATTGGATATACTTTTAGTGTTAACAAAACATAAAAATAACTATTTAAACGAAACATTAAGATAATCCTTGCTAGGTAGTCATAAGTTTTATATATTCCTTCAATGCATCATTTTAGAAATTCAAGTATTGAGCGATATCACTGAATGTTTTTTATCATGTATTTTCTTATCCGCTTGGAGACCCTGACTGCTGCTTATAATTCAATTTCACGTCTTCATTTCAGATAGTTGTGTGGTTAGTGATTCCAGGTGCTAGGCACTTGAATCCTCAGAAGAACAATACTACACTGGCTCTTATTGTTCTGATCCAGTACATTCCAAGGTTATACCTCATATTTCCTATGAGCCAACAAATTATAAAAGCCACCGGGGTTGTTACAAAGACCGCTTGGGCGGGTGCTGCATATAATCTTCTCCTTTACATGATTGCTAGCAATGTATGTAACATCAAAGCGTGAGAAAAATATGACGCTGTTGGAAAGACATGGCAGCTAAACATATAATTTTTCACACATTTAAATAACGCGTGCAGGTTATTGGGGCTGCATATTATCTGCTAACTATTGACCGGCAAACAACTTGTTGGAATTCCAAATGCAGGCTAGAGAATGGCACCTCAGGTGCGCCATGCAAAATGGAGTATCTGGACTGTGACTTTATAAGTGCTGTCGATCCAACTTGGGTCAGCAACACCAGTGTTTTTGCAAATTGCAACGCTAGTGATGATTCTATAAGTTTCAACTTTGGCATATATCAAAATGCACTGACAACGGGTGCTGTGTCGACCAATTTTTTTAGGAAGTACTTCTATAGCCTCTGGTGGGGTTTGCAGAATCTAAGGTATAACAATTCAAGTAAATGTTCAAATTGGTCTCTAGGTTTGGTAGGTTTATTCGTTTTACTCAGAGATTTTTTTAGGTTTAGTCTCTCAACTCATAAAATATGCATCAATTTGATCCTTTTGTCAGCTCCTTCCCTTTGCTTTGGATAGACAAAGGTAACATGAAGTTTTTCATGAGAATTTTTAGCGCCAATTACATTAGTTTGAGGCTTTGAGCGGAAAATGTACTTATTTTTTTGACATATTTGATTAGAGTTGAAAGTATCATATTGGTCCATATCTTGTACATATTTTCTTTTTTCTTTGCAAAAATATTACTTTGAAATATTTTTTAAAATAATGATTAAAATTTCAGCAGATGAAATTATTTGTGGTTAAAGATAATTATTTTGTAGCGTTGTTTTATCATGATTAAGACTTCATTTGGAATAGTTTTTTTTGTTTTTAAAGTGACTTTCTAGTACGAAAATTTCTTAAACTAGAAATTTTTGTACTAAGAAGTTATTTTAGAAAGCAGTAAGAAAGCCGTCACAAACAAAACCTAAATTGTTATCACCTAAGCAACCATCATGCTTCCTCCGAAGGCATATTGCTTTAATTACAATAAAAATGATTACTGATGGATTGCAATGATAAAGAATAAATTTATTTTATATAATAATTTAATATAGGGTATCTTGTGCTAATTATCTTCCATATAATTAAATAGGAGACCATTTAATTACATTTTGATTAACTATACATGCACTATTGTTACAGTCTAACACATTATTTTATCAAATTTAACATAATAATGATGATCGCCACCTTGCATTGACAACCACATTCCATTAGAAAGCTCAAGTAACTGCAATGGACATGTGTATAGCAATGCTTCACCGTATAAAACAAAATTTCAATTTAACAAGAAATGGTGAATATTGTGAGGTCCTTGTTTCTAAGTGATTAAAGGTTGGCTTGTTGATTGAGGGTTCAAAATTAAGGCTTTCCTGAAACTTAAGGCCTACCTATTCATCTCTTGCGTCAAGGGGGTGGTTAAAAGCCATTGTTTTCTTCTAAAGTGAAAATGGAAAACTTAAAAAAGGGCAAGGCACTCGGAAGTTATTTAGCATCAACTCTGTATAACTAGTCTTTGATTATGTTCCCTGTGTAGCTGGTTACTGGCATACTGAGTTTTAATTAGTTTTTTTGTCGCTGTTAGGGGATGAAAAATCTGCTGTTTACAAATATTTTAATTTTCTAAATCTTAAGGATTTTTGTTCTTCCTCAACCTTATGATGGCTCACATTGCTTTTTTGTAGCACATTTGGCCAGGGCTTAACTTCAAGCACTTTTGTCTGGGAGACATCATTTTGTATACTCATAGCGCTTCTTGGACTCATTTTGTTTGCACATTTGATTGGCAACATGGAGGTAACTAAGAGTGCTATTTATGTTTTTTTTTTCCCCTTAATTTTGTACTATGATATCTGCATATGTTTTTTTGTATTGTTCAACATATTTACCATTAGCTACAATCATTTCTATCTTGTCAAGAAAGCTTACAATCATTTCTATCTTGCCAAGAATCACTGTTATGCCCACAAGAATGCTTTACCCTAGTTGGATCTCCTCTAGATTTGAGAAGACCATCTTCTCTAGTAAAAGATTTCAACTGATTTTGTGATTGAACCCCATCTTTCTCTCCCCCTCCCCATGCTCTGACCTGGCCCGAATACTTAGGAATATTAAGTCGGGAGCAAACGATCGAACAATAGTAAAATTTCTTTCAACAGTTGTTAAAACGATCAGATAAAATATCGTCCGAATATCTACAAATAGCCACTAATTATTCATCATAATTTAAACATATATAATTCAAGTTGCTAAAATTTTTAGAAACCATTGAATTGGAATCAAATACATAGGATCTTTGCATACCTATTCTTATTCTCTCCTTTTATTTTGTATATAAGACATTCTCGTTTGTCAACCATCTAATTTATACGAGTCTTATATTAAAACATTTCGTTTTAATCGATTAAATTTCAATTATCAAACTCACAGGCTAATTGCAGTTCTATACTTCCATGATATAGTCATTTAAAATAAATGAAAGATGATATTCACATGAGTTCTCCTAAGTAATCATTAAACATTTCACTTATGAGATTTTTAACATGCGTACTAGTTAAGATAAACCGAACTGGCCATATGGTTGATTCACAGTTGAACCAGTCATACCGATCGATCCGGTCCTATCTAATTTTTAAAACCATGCTTTTACACCCTATGACTCTGTTTTCTTTTTGAACTTCTACTTCAAAAAGTCATGGTAATTCATGCATTACCCACTATAGTTTTCTTGGCCATTCTTTAGCCTGTAACTTGGTTATTGCTGGAGTATTCCGGTTCTCTAGGCTCCAAGTATTTTCTTGTGTGCTCCGAAAATTCTATTTTGGATGTGTGATCCCGGCCTCTCCACGTCATCAGTCAATTTTTCTTTTAAGTATTTGTATGACGACGACGATAGAGAGTTTTAACTAGATTAGGTTCCGAGGAAATTTTCAGAAGGCAGATTGGGTTTTAGATAAGACACTACCCAGAGATTTCGCCCTCATTTGGTGAGGATCATTTGGTGAGGACTTTTTGATCTGAGTTCTGGTTTCCTATAGGAGCAAGCCCCTATAGTTAATTACCCCTTCTGACAACAGGAGAGAACTTTCGATTAAGGCTAGTCATAAAAGAGGTCAAATAGGTTATAAACCTATCGTATAATAGCAACAATTCTAAGGTTTAAATTTTGAATTTGGAAGTTTGAAATTTGAAATTTATAGTTTATCACCATAAACTTAGAACTGGTGGTGGGGGGAATGAAGACGAGCCCGATCAAGATCCCATGGTTCCGTCGTCCCGGGCTGTCATGATCCCTGGTCTACTTAGTCAGAGGAGGTAGTCGACCCAACCTGACAGAAGGCACCTTGTCGGCAGCCATGGGTTGCTTCGTCCAAGAACCGTGGTGTTTGTCGAAGGGGATATATATGAATCCACCTTAGCTAACAGAGGGCTTTATGCCTATCGAATATACCCTATGATCCATCGCTCAAGGGTTTGACGCCTTTAGGGAACATACGGGCTTTGGCCGTGATCGTAATATCCATTTTGCGGCAAAACCACCCGATCAGAGGGCACGTGCCACGTCCCTGTTGGCAAGAGACTATTTGAGGATGAATCAAAGTGATACACCCGACATGCATTCGCTCTTTGTGAGCTGAGATTAATTTCAAATTTATCACCCCCGACAAACGATTGCGGGAGGCGGATGATTTTTAGTTTTGAGTTTTTAAGTGATTGATTTTATTTTAAGAATTTAGATTTTTGTTGGATTTGATATTTGACCCCTCCGGTTGAGATTTTCAGTCAACGCGGCCATCATCGGGGTGACCTCGAGGTCACTTGAAAAATATTTGAATTTTGTAGAAGTTTGAGGGCATTTTGAAATATTTTATGAACCCCTCCGGTTGAGATTAACATTCAACACGGCCATCATCGGGGTGATTTTAAAATCATTTGTATTTTCGTAGGATTTTGGGTGGCATTTTGTTATTTCAAGTCATGTCGACTCCAGTCCTTTCAAGGAGGAGGATGAAACTTGAATATTAGACCCGCGCAGCATTCTCAACATCGTCAGATTTGGGATTTAGATGTGACGATTGGAGCGCATGCGGGTTATAGCATTTGACCCTGCGCAGCATTCTCAGACACTTATATTTATAACTTAAAAATATTTGTCGGAGCACATGCAGGGGTAGATTTAGTTTAAGGGATCATATTTAATACATAATGGGCATTTTAAAATATTTAAATATGATCAATTGCGCAAGTGATTTTGCTTGGAAAATAGCCCGGGATTTCATTTAAGGGCCTACGAACGCCTTCTGTCCGCTTGCATACGTGTTGCGGATCCGGTG